CATGTTTTTCTAATCCGGACAATATGATTATCCAACGCATGTTTTGAGAACCATCAATGAAAAAATGTGTTCATTGTAACAATAATTTCTTGTAACAAGTTTTGCTATTAAAATTGTCATTGATGAGCTGTGACGTATCTATCCAGGCCATATGCGTAAGCAAAATGGGTGTGAGAAGCGGGAAGAGCCTGTGAACAATACCATTTTACGTGTGACAGAGATTTGAAGTATTAATATAAATTTATGAAGAAAAGTTTTTTAATCTAGCCCCAATTGTTCTAGAATAATATGATTTAGTTAAGACAAATTGACACAAACTGCTATGCAAAGTATGGATGACATTGATTCACTGATTCACCCGTTAAAGAGACATTTGAGGATAAGTTGCACCACGAATTTTTGACCGCACTATAGGTCTAGGCTAGTTTTTGTCCGTCTCGGGTCTTTCTTTGTGAATAGTGAGTGGGGCTCGTTCATTTGCCGGCGCTAGGCCTCTTGAACGAAAGCTCAATTCAGCCAAAGATAGTACATACCAAAATAGTTCACTCAGCCAAAAGAGTGTCTGCGGAAGTCCGCGCATTCGTTCAGTTGGCGCTGCAGTCTTTTTTTTTTTTTTAAGCTCTCTTTCGTTTTTCCAGAAAAAGAATAGGAAAAGCAGTTTGTTAGTTTCGCTTCCAGGACCTTACAGCTGTAGCAACTCATTGTTTCACTTTTTTTGTTTTTCACACAAGTAGGGTAACTCTTATCGCAAAGTCCGCGCTTTTCCAAAGAGGACGTCACCCAATTTTGAGGACAATTTTTTTACTTGACTCAAAGAAAGGAGTGAACTATCTTGTTATACACAATCTTTGATTCTGCAGTTCCAAAACAGGAAGTCACTCCTGGAGTGCGGAAACTGAATTTTTGGGCGTAGTCAACAGATGGAATGGGAATTCGTGCGTGCGTAGCCGTGTAAACAAACCGAGAGAAAAAAACAGTGCCAAGGTTCTTTCTAAAACCAAAAGGCTGAAACTGGTCCACATCGAGGTTTGTTCTCCTTTTTTCATCCTGTTTTGCCTGCGAATTATAGATCTAGATCTATATACTGCGAACTATCTAGAATCTAGATCTAGAAATCTAGATCTAGATCTCTAGTCAATACTGCAAATGTTTATTCTCGGCACCGACCTGAACAAGTTGGTACCAACAAGAAGTTTGCCGTCTAGACAGTTGGGTACATTCCAAAAATTCTCGGCTTGTTGGCCTAGTTCCTGGTACTCACCTAGGTCAGGTCTCAAGTCTCAAGGCCAATAGGCTACATTGTCAGACTGGCCCCTGAAGCCTGAAGCATTTTACCGTTAATATTAACGAGGCCTAATATTAAATCAACATTTTGTTGATTTAAAGGACTGTGCAGATTTAAAAAGAATCTGGGGGGTTTCAGCCACCCCCCCCCCCCCCTTGCATTTCGCAATAATAATAATGATAATTTGATGTTTTAAGGCAATTAGGATTGAATATTTACTTGAAAACAATTGATTTGCAAGGTTTTTGGTGGCCATATATATAGACCTCTTAGATCTAGATCTAGATCTACATGTGTGTTCTACAGCAACGATTTAGGCAGTTTAGCCCTCAATTCAATGCATCTGTGTGTGGGTCATCATCATCCAGTCATTCCAGTGCCAGATCTGCGACAGACTTCGGTGATCATGATTTTCCATTCATTCCTTTGCTCGGATGCTCTCAGAAAAGCTACGTTTCCCTGATTTTTCCCTGTTACCCATTTGTTTAGGTTCCCTAAGTCCAGTGTGTTGTTCTGGGCCTACCCCTGCCTCGCTTGCCTTCAATTTTGCCAGTGAGAGCTAGATGTTCAAAACCCTCTATGCTTATGTCTATTCAAGTGTCCCAAAAACTGCATTTGTCGTTTCCTGATTGTTTTTAACATTGAGCGTCCCACGTGGGCTTCATCAAGCACTACCTCATTTGATTTCTTTTCCTTCCACGATACTCTTAGCAGTCTCCTAAGAAACCACATTTCTGTTGCCTCTATTTTATTTTCACTGTCTTTAGTGATTGTCCAGCATTCACAGCCATATATAGATTAGAAGGGTTGACCAAACAAAGCATTTCAGGACTTTCATTTTGGTGTTCATTGATATGTTTCTATTTTTCAGGATTGGGCTCATTTTATTGAAACTAGCCTTAGTCATTGCAGTGTGGGTGCTAAAGTAAAAATTTACCAGTAGCCTAATAGTTGCAGAGTGGAAGTGAATGTGTGTGCCCATCATCAAGTAGAATCTATGAATGAGGCATTGGCATGGGCTACTAAAGTCGGAGATGAATGGTTTTATTCTTGACCGACTGGTGTATATGTTGATTCTAAACATAAAAAGCCCTGAAGCTCTCATCTTATTTTATTTTTCTGTCAGGTGAAGCAAGATGGGGAAGCTAAACATGTTTGCCATTTCTCTAGCGAATGCGAGTGGAGTTTTCTACTCTGGCTCGATCGTCCAGGGACATATTACTGTTGAGCTGAAGGAACCAATGAAGATGCGAGGTAATAAAATGTTTTTTATATATATTTTATATAGATTCTATTATGATAGGCCTCTGTATAACATTATTTTTAAAAAAAATGTTACTCCTGCTTGTCTTGCCTTTCCCCACGGCTATCAATTTACCTGCTTTCTTCGAGTGCAACATTGTCCTCCTAATTATGATATTGACTCAACCCTATTGAATTAAATCATATGCGGTACAAAACACATCATGAAGCTGCAGCGAGCTCCTAGCACCCCTCTGTGATTGGCCAAATTATAGATGATGTATTTCCGCCATTTATTTTTGTCGTCTTCCTGGGCTTCCCTCGCCAGTTGACTAGATCTAGATCTCATTGAGGCGAGCCCCGATTTGCCACTCACTGCACAATGGGCGACGTCACGAGGTTTCATCCCCGACTGCTTGGGCTGTGTCTGCGTGTGTGTATGCGTGCGAGCTCGTGTGTGTGTGTGTGTGCGCGTACAACTTTGAGGAGAAGGTAAATTTATGGAACGAGAATTTACTGAGATTGTTTTATAAACGATGACATAAATATACCCAAAAAACCTCCAAACACAGCGAGATCTAGGCTAGTCAACAGTTACTGGTAAGGGAAACCCGAGAGTCTTGGGAGAAACCCCGGAAGAGGACCAGATGACATCACAGTGGAAGTATAAGAGCTTGTGGAAACACCGGTATTCTGTGGCTGAGGCAAATTTTCAATAGAGCTTGGGAGTAAAGGAAATGCCCAGAAGACTGGCAGAAATCCACAGTGGTCCCATTATAATGGAACAAGAAAGGCAACATACGGGACTGCACAGCGTACAGAAGCATCTCTTTATAAAGTCATGCTTCACGGCAACAGAGGATGAAAAAGTAAAGTAAAGTAGTAATTTTTGTGGGTTTGGAAACACAAAGTTATGAGCCCTGCAAAGTAATGATACATGAACCTGGGTGCAGAGACTTGTATTGTAAGCTACTGCAATAATATAACTTTTCTCTTTGTTCTTTTTACTCTTTGTTGATTCCCTTAATTCAGACTTCCTCTTTGTATTTCCAGACATTTTCTATCAATCAATGAATTATGACTGCGCACTGAAGCTTTTGCATTCTTTTTCTGCCTCTTTTCATCTGCTGCAATACTCTACTCTTGGACTTTTGCACTGTAGACTTTTAAAAGGATTACAATTTTTGTCTTAATTGATGATACATAATCATGATTATGGAGCACTGCGAAGTAAACAGGTTTGTATTGTGCAACTCCAAATTTTTTAGGACTTCATAAACAATTAATGTAGTGGTTGCATTGATGAAAACACAGCTTAACATGACAAATCAGCAAACAAACCTTTGTGCACCTTATACGCACCTGGTCTTCTCACGGACGCTTTTACATGATGACACTCTAGTAGGCTAAAAGTTAGACAACCAGACTCGTAATCAAGAGATTGTGGGTTCAAAACTCAGCTCTGTTCAATGCTGTGCCCTTGGAAAAGGCATTTTACAAGAATTTCACCTTTTGGTCTTGTCCTATTAAAGATGGACGTACAACTGAGAGTTAAACAACTGTATAGTGTTGTAATGGGTGTTAAACGTATACAATTACGCAACATTTGTATGCTGTTTTTCTGTTCTGTGTTCTGAGACTGTACTTTTTAAAATGTTTCCTGAACAAGTAGAAGTTATAAAACTATTGAATAAATGTTGTAGAAACTACTTATTGTTGTCCTTTAGTATTAAAAGTTTTACTGTATATAATGCCAAACTATATGAGGCATGTTGACAAAATGAGTTACGTCTCACAATCCACAAACAGAGATTGGCTAAAAACCTACATGAGAGTCAAATTTGTGGATTTTCTGTTTATGCCATATTCTGTAACTGTAACCTGTCTTTAATTATTTCACACTTATAAATGGTCCCTTTTAAGCACAAGGGGGCTATCCCGAAAAATGTTGTTTTGAGAAAATCGATGTTAAAGTTGTTAGACCCTTTTTCAGTTTCTTTAAAAGATGAGGGGAGTTTTCTCTATAACCAAACATATACACACCGATGAAACCAAACTTCTCCTATAGGTACGGCAATGCCCACTTTAGGTGTGGGTCAAGATTTCTGAAAGCCCCCCAAATCTGGATTAGCCCCCTTTTCCTTAAAAGCGACCAAATTGTAAAAACTTCACCTATAAGTGTGATGTATCTATTTCCTTAAGGCTTGAATCCGAGAAGTAACTCATTTTGTCTGCACGCTTCACATATAATTGAATTTATTCTTCACAGGTATCAAGTTGACTTTTGAGGGCAAAGCGTACGTTCATTGGACAGAACAGCATTCAACTGGTTCTGGAAAGAATCGACGTACGACAACAAGACACTACAGTGCAACAGAAAAATACTTTGACCAGGATGTCTTATTGTATGGAATATGTACGTATTGTGAAAGGAATGTGTAGGTTGTTTTTGGATGATTCGGAAACGTGCGTATTATGTTGTGACACGTTTATGGTGTGCAGCAAAGTGTTGCGTTACACTCCACAAACATGTCAACATAATTTCCACGTCTCCGAATCGTCCAAAAACAACCTACAGAATGCGTTCTATTTGCATAATGCTAAAATGACAGAAAAATTTCTATTTAAGTTAAAGGAGTCTTAAATCATACATTATATTCAAATAGAAAATACAGTATAATCCGCTAATATCGATATGCTTCGAGAAGTGGATCTGATGTCGATATATAAAGATATCGATAAATAAAAATGTATAGACATAAAGCCAAAGAGGGAAAAACAAGGCGAGATCAGCGGTAAAAAGACAACTCTACTTTTTAGGCTGCTGGTTGCTTCCCTTGATTCTCATCCAATTACACAGTGAAACTAACAAGAGCCGGGGGGGGGGGAGGGGGGGGGGGGTTGGAGTTACGGTGAAACTCCATAATTTTGAGGCAGTCTCATTTTGAGTTTATGTGCATTGTATTTCCTTTCTGTGCTGAGTGCCACTGACTGAAGAGTCTTTAGGCCATTCCTAAAGGGGGGATATTAACAGATTCTTATACACAATAGAATTGTAAATGGGCTGATTTTTCAATGTCATGCTCGTACTGTGCCGAAACAACAAAGGGGGAACTGCTGCTTTTTCTTTCTTAATCCTTACTATCATCATTTTCCTCTACTTCTTTTGTATGTTTGTCACTCTCTTGTGAACTGCACTTTCCGGGATGCCTTGATAGTCAAAGCAGACTTTGTGCTTTTGATGCTAGAGAGGTGAGCAGAGTAAGCCTGATTCCCTGTAAGGACTCCTCTGTTGACATCCGCCCCTTGATGCTCATATGACCTTATGCAGTTGCAAACTCCGAAAACCTTACCAAAACCAGCAATTTCTGTGCTGAGGTTTTTGGAGACGCTCATGTCAAATATGGGGAAACCACAATAGTACCGTACGAACAGAAATTATCAGATTTCTCATTCTAATCTTTGATAGTTAGTAATGACAGTCTAATGCTTTGATATGTGCACTTTGAATATTCAGGTGAAGTAGTATCTTGTCATTATGTTAGTGTTTGAGCGCTATAAATTGCTGCTTGCACTGTATGCTTCCCAGGAAGTTGAGTCTGTTTCAGAATGCTCTCAGGTCTGCTGGGGTAATAGTATAGATTGTGAAGAGCATAGATCTTGCTGTTGAGCGGGGATTTGCGCTCTACAAAATATGCTATCTATTATTATTATTATTAAAGTAAAAGTAAAGTTGTTCCTGCATCCGATCCAGACATTGGGGATTGCCTTGTTAGTGAGACAACTTCTTTGGCCTTCGGCATATAGTGGTAGGGTGGCCAGTTTCTTTCTACGCCGCCTTTACTTCCCCAACTCGAAGTCAGGTACCCATTACTGCTTGGTGGGCCGGAGGGGGCGAAAAATATCTGTGTCCGAACCGAGGCTCGAACCCGGACTTTCCGCTTCAGAGATGAATGCACTAACCGCTCCGCCACTGCACCATTATTATTATTAGTAACCAAAATTCTTAAACAGAATCGATTTTTTTTTCTCAGGGTCCGGTCAGGGCAGTAGCACGAGTGAACTTCCTGCGGGACGACATACTTTCCCGTTTCAGTTCCAGCTGCCGCAGGGCCTCCCGTCGTCTTTCGAGGCCCACACTGGCCACGTCAGGTACACAGTCAAGTGCAAGATCGACAAGCCGTGGAAGTTTGACCACAAGACAAAGAGACCCTTCACCGTCATCAGTATCTTGGACTTGAACCAGGACCCACAGTACAGTGTGAGTATACAGTATAATATGTGGCATGATGGAATCAGGCTCTTGTCAATTTTTGGGCATACGGAGTTGATGGTATCGTCTTAAGGCCTGTCCATTTTCCTTGTTAAGGGTGAAAATGATATCCATCTATGTTGAATAGAAGTCGAGATATGTGTGATTGAAGGAGGTGAGGGTCATCTGGTTTCAGAGGTAAAATTAGTGATAAAATGTCCGCAAAAGTTGAGTTATTTCTTTAGCTTGAGAGTCCGTGGAAATTGAAATGTTACATTTCTTCTGCCTTTAATCAAGGTTTTTCTGTACAATTCCCACAGCAGTGTGCTCTTTAATGGGTGTGAAAGGTGTTGGACCAAAGAACAAACAATCGATAAAAATTCCCAAACCTGCAGGAAAATGCCAATTTCTTGACTTTCATTATTTTGACGAGCGCCTGATTTCACCATGCTCCTTCTCATATGGTCACCCTTGTCACATGACAAGCCGAGTGGTTAGGCTACCGGACTCGCAATCGTGAGGTTGCGGGTTCGGGGGTTTTGAGCTGCGGGCCTGACATTGTGTCCTTGGGAAAGGCACTTTACGCGAATTTCCCCCACTTCACCCTGATGGGAATGGGTACCCAGCTATAGACAGTGAAAGATCTTGTCAGTTTGTTAGTGTTTGAGTGCTTAAGCTGCTGCTTGCACTGTATGCTTCTCAGGAAGCTGAGAATGTTTCTGAGTGTTCTATGGTCTGCTGGGGTAGTAATATAGTGTAAATCGCATAGGGCTTGCTGTCGAGTGGGGACATGCACTTTTCAAATGTTATTTATTATTTATTATTATCTCTGCTATGATTAAACTTGCTAACTATGTAGAGAAACTATGTAGAGAGACGTATTGTACTTTCAGAATTAGTTTTCATTTTAATGTTCACTTTTTTTCTTCTTCAGCAAAGCATGCAAGGATCCAATGTGAAGCATCTGTGCTGCCTGTGCTGCAAGTCGGGACCCATTCAAGCCACGTTCCACCTTGACCGTCGCGGGTATGTCCCTGGAGAAGCGGTCAAGCTCTATGCCGAGATATCGAATGGGGCCAGCCGATCAATGGACAAGTCCTACGTGGATTTGAAAATGGTACATTTTGTTTAACCCTTCCGCCCCAGTGGGTGCTTGGCGGGTGCTCTGGTGTGGTTTGCTTCTTCTTTCCTATCAGACATCTATCGTCCTTATCTCCCCCTCCTTCTTTTTTATGTTTGTTACTCTTTTGTAACACCTCTAATCTTCTGGCGCTCATATGACCTTTTGCAGTTGCGAGCGCCGTAAAACCTCTACTAAAACAAAAAACCAGCCATTTTTTGCTCTCATGCACTCCCTAACCCCAGTCCTAGCCAAATACAGCAGTATTTCAGAAAATTGTATTTTTTGTTTAAGTTGTGTCCTCTTAACTCATTCGCTACGTATTATTTTCGGCTTGTGGACGAATTCTTTTCGGGAGGGCGAAATGAGATGATGACTAGTGCGCAGTTCACAGGTCTTGGGGGCCATAAATTCAAATAAATATCAACATATTATATACCAACATTTTCAGTATGGTTTGTAGAATACACCTGCATTATTTATTTGCGTATTTTTCAACTTTGGTTCCTGTAAGAGGCGATTATGCAACACAATTGTGATTGGATGCGGATAAAATTGGAAAATAAAAAATTTATAATCTCAGGTGAAACTAAAAAAAACATGTTTGCACCTAGTCAAATGATACCTCAAAATAACCATAGCTGTATATAGAACAGGAAAATATTGAAAAATGTACAGTTATTTACATACATTCCATAATATTTGTACATTTGGATCATAACATCCGATATTGAAAAAAAAAATTTTGAAAAATAATTTTGAAAAAAGGATCACAAACAGAAAAAAATATGCGTAACTTATATGGAATTATTCAGAATTGCATTTGGAATAAACCTATACATGTCTTGAGTGGTACTTTTTGATATATTTCACCCAAAAGTAGTGATTTTGGGGAGAAAAAAATATTTTGACTATTTAGATCTAGGCCTAGATCTAGCACTCAAAAATATTGATTTCTCAATTACAATGCACCGGCAATTTGCGTCCAATAGTATCAATATTATAAAGAAGAGTCCTACACTTCTTTAGTGAGCAAAATAATTATACATTTTGTTGTGTAAAAGTACTAAGACTGGTGTCTGGGCTATAATTTGGGCTTCGCGATAAAACAAAGTCGAATAAACTACGAAATCATGTTTCAAAACTGAATCAAAACTTCCGATTTTCGGTGGAAACGCTTGACCCGGAAGTCAACATTATATTATGACCTTTATTTTAACATGGATAAGTGGATTGGAATAGAAAACAAGCTAAAATTGAACGTCGGTTCTCGAGCCGCCGGGGGCGGCTTAACGTACTGACGGCACTTGAGCCGCGCCGCCCCCCACGGCTCGACGTAGCGAATGAGTTAAAGTGTATTCTGAATTTGTAAACATTCCTACTTTTTGTAATAAGGTAGTGCAATACTTTTGTGACCATATGCAGTTATGAGCGCCGTAAGACACTTACCAAAACCAACAAAGCCATTTCAATACCAGTCTTACAAAACAGGCTTCTTTTAATTTTGTGTTGGCTGTTTTATCCTCTTTCTCCATTGTACTATTTGGACAGAAATTGTGGGGGGGGGGGGGGTAAATGTGGCACCAGAGTCATGTTTACCTTGTAGAAAAGATACTTTCTGGCAGACTCTTAGGAAAAAATCAACTTCTTGAGCCCTTCCAGCCCGAAGTCATGACAGTTAGCAGGAGACCAGACGAAGTGGACAGCAACATCAATGGATCCCAGCTAAAACAAAGCAGCCAATTCAAATACTTAAAAGCATTTGTACAGAAAATGGAAAATTAGATCGAGAATTAGAGACTAGATGCCAGAAAGCGAATGCAGTCAGCTATCAACTCGGCCCTCTCCTGAAACATCCCAAAATCCCCATGAGCACCAAGGCGAAGATCATCAACGCCATTTTCCTACCAACGCTCACATATCGGTGCCTGACATGGTCCCTAACAAAAGCCCTAGGGAGGAAACTGGTCACATGCGAGATGAGATATTTAAAAAGGGCGACTAACAAGACAAGAAGAGACAAAATAAAAAAATGAAATCATAAGGGACACCGTAGTAGCAACACCAGTCCTACCACACATTGAGATACAAAAAGTCAAGTGGTTCAGACACCTCACAGGGATGCCCTGAAACCAACCAGCTCTGAGGGCATATCATCATCATCATCCAGTGCCAGATCTGCGACAGACATCGGCGATCATGGGCATATGTCGTCAAATATTCTGGCTCTCCAGGAAGACCAAGGCGACGCTGGAACGAATCTGTGGCAGACACCCTCAGAGCTCACGGGATGTCCCTCCTACAGGCCACTCACCTTGCTGTAGACAGGCGCCTGTGTCTCCCCGCGACACCCATCGGTACAAGCGGAAGAAAAAAGTAAAGTTGTAAGATCTCCAGTAAGGCTGTGATATAGGTTGAAGTAGTTAATTACGTACCTACACAACTGATTTAAGGGGATGTTTTCTTCCCAAGCTACCCCACGCATCTAACTGCCTCTACTCCTCAAGACAACAATTAGAACAGTCATGCAGCTATTACCGAATGGCATCATGCAGAAGAGTTAACGCTCAGATGCCATCGAGAATGAGGAAGAAGAAGAAGAAGCTCAGATGCTACTGGATCGCTAACAACAACAACAACAACAACATACCTACACCCGTCACACAGATTTATCGTCGAACATTGCGTAGGCCTAGCCTGAAGCGCACTAGACCAGCAAGCGATTAACACTATAAACAACCGAACATTTATATATATAGCCTACACGGTTAAGTGTGAACTCCCAACGAAGCGTGAGCAAGCATCACGTGCCGGTGAACGACGACTTGTAGTAATTCCTGCAAAGTAAAGAAAAGAGCCTCTGTCTTCTTTCCTATATGACACCCAACAGCCACCCAAGTATAGGTTGCCATTCGAAAGATCTTGTCAATATGTTAGTGTTTTAGCACAGTTAAATGGCTGCTTGCACTGTATGCTTCCCAGGAAGTTGAGGTTGTTTCAGAACGCTCTCAGGTCTGCTGGGGTTATAGTATAGATTGTGAAGCGCAAAGAGCTTGCTGTGACCGGGGATTTTGCACTATACAAATGCTATCCATTATTATTATTATTATTAAACGGACTTTCATTTTCCAAATGCACATTTCAGTTTTCATTTATGTCATGCCTGACGTTTTGTTGTTTCATTGTCTTACAGATAACAACTTTCCATGCTACGTCAAAGTCGAAGAAGGTCGTTACTGAAGTAGGCCGTCTCTCGAGACCATCGATCGAGGGCCATGCAGAAGATTCGTGGACGGGAGAAGAGCTGGTTATTCCTCCATTACCCCCATCCTTTCTGGTCGGCTGCAACATCATTGACATCCACTACATACTGCAGGTGAAGTGAATTAACCCTTCCAGCCCCAGCCATTTTTGTGCACTCGCTAACCCCAGTCCCAGCCAATACAGCAGTATTTCAGAAAAAGAGGCATGCATTCTAAAATGTGATGTATCTTTGTAATGAGGTTTAGATAATAACCTATAACAATCTTTAAAAGTAAATGAACAAATATTATGAAAATTAATGTTTAATTAGGTTTGCTATTTTCGAAAAATACGCAAATTCGGTACCCTCCTAAACTGAGAATATACGCTCTTGGGACGGTGGGAGGTACTAGTACTGCTGAAAATATACGCGCTTGGGACAGTGGGAGGTACTAGCACTGCTGAAAATATACGCGCTTGGGACGGTGGGAGGTACTAGCACTGCTGAAAATATACGCTCTTGGGACGGTGGGAGGTATTAGCACTGCTGAAAATATACGCGCTTGGGACGGTGGGAGGTACTAGCACTGCTGAAAATATACGCGCTTGGGGCTGGAAGGGTTAAAATACCAGGAATACCTGGAGGAGTCGTCTCTGACTCAGAGGTTGACAACACCCCCCCCCCCCCCCCCCCCCCAGGGCGGTGCCTCTGACTGAAGTGTTTTTAGGCCATTCCCAAAGGGGGGGGACATTAACCTGTTCTTTTGCGCAGTAGAATTATAAATGGGCTGATTCAACAATGTCATGCTCATAACTGTGCCTGAACTGCAGCAGGGAACTGCTGCTTTTTCTTTCTTAATCCTTACTATCATCATTTTCCTCTACTTCTTTTGTATGTTTGTCACACTCTTGTGACCCACTATTTCTCGGGTGCCTTGATAGTCGAAGCAGACTTTGTGCCGTTGAAGCTAGAGAGGTGAGCAGAGTAAGTCTGATTCCCTGTAAAGACTTCTCTGTTGACATCCACCCCTTGGCGCTCATATGACCTTATGCAGTTGCGAGCGCCGAAAAACCTCTACTAAAACAAAGAGGTTGACGTATAATGACCATCCATCCTTCACGGTCGCAAGCTGCTGTAAGTTGCACATTTTGCTATATATCCATGGATTTAAGCTTGTCAACAAATCAGATGAGTTAATGATAATGCTTTGGGAATCATGAGCAGCCTTTTTATCCTTCCCCGTGGACAGTGCTGGGTGTAGAATTAATGGTTATCTCGAAAGAATTATTTTTTACCTAATGACCTTATGCAGTTGCGAGTGCCATAAAGCCCCATACTAAACGAAATTTTATACCTAGCGCTAAACGCTTGTTCAATTAGACATACCTTGTTTTTCGTGGCAGTTGAACGTGGATCCCTCTGGACCGGCTCTTGATCTGGAGGTTCCTTTGGAGATCGTGATCGGCACCATTCCACTGGTCCAGGTCGTGGAGAGATTCCCTCCCATGGCTGCGGCTCCTGTGGGCTTCGACCAGTGGCAGTCTCCGTCTGTTCCCTCCGCTGAAGCTCTGTACCCTGTGCCACCCCCTACAGGCATTCCCAATTTGCGTAAGTGAACGGTCACATAGCTACAGAAATTGTTGAGTAGCTATACTTCCGCTCGCTGACAAAACACCTTTTTCTTATTCACAGTAGTTTAGAGAAATCAACTTTTTTCGTTTTTCTTATAATGTTTAAACTATTTTACACAGTACGACATTTGATCTCGCACCCTGAAGAGAAATGTTATTCACTGTGCTCGGCAGATATTATAAGAAAATAGAAAATCGCGGATTTCTCAAATTTTCAGTAATTAAGAAAAAGGCGTTTTGTCAGAGTACTGCAGTATAGTAGTTTAGCTGACTACAGGTACATACTTACGGTACCGTGAGAAACAAAAGATGACAATATTTCTGGCATGTTCTCGGAGAAGATAGGTGTTACATCTTGTATTTGGACCAGGTACCTTGTAACAGCAAACTTGAACATCAATCAGGAACACAGGAGTCTCGTCTTGGGTCGAACATTACGAAGCAGTTTATTCATGATTAATATGTAAAAGGGACAATATGTGCACAACATGTTAGATTCTTTACATGATACAGAATACATGCCTTCATTAATAACTGACACTCACACGTCTCAGTCATTCTCACATAGAATAATACAACACCAGCCTAATGGTAAAGGGTGACAAAGAATAAGAAATACTAACATGACATATCATATTATGATATGAAAACGACATAATAAACAACATGGAAGTGTTTCTACAATGGGGAACAACTTAATAGCCAATGTCCTGCTAAGGGAATGAACCATGAGCAGGTCTAATCATTTCCCTTACATAACAATAGGAAAGAGTACAAGATAACAATATGGATATGAAGATCAAGTGCTGTATTTCAGAGAATGGTTATGAAACGAGCAAAAGCTGTGGTTTTGAAAATATTCAAAATATGGAGGAATGTTGTTACTCTTCAGCGATTTAATGACTATGGCTTCCTCCTTTTACACCATCCATAGCCCTGCTGTCCTGACTTTTGTCAAATTACTTACTTACTTCTTTTACTTTTTCATCCTCTGTTGCCGTTAAGCGTCGAGGGGAGAGATGCAGTTTTCTATGGTATGCCAGCTCCGCAGCTCTTTCAGTTGTGATATTACGTTTTCTCAGGGTTTCCTTGACACCCTCGATCCACCTTTTGCATGGCCTTCCTCTTCCTTTATAGCCTGAGTGCTTGGTGTTGTAGGCTCTCAAGGCTGGCTGGTCTGGTGACATACGTAACAGGTGGCCAAACCATTTTATCCTCTGTCTTTCTATGTAACGCAGGCAGGACTCAGTGCCGATAGCTGCTCTTACTTCTTCATTTCTCTGCCTGTCTCGTCTTGTGATGTTAAGGTTTTTTCGGAGACATTTCATTTCGCTTGCGGTGATTTTGCTTTCATGGGTTTTGCTTAAGGTCCAGGTCTGGCACTGATAACATAATGTTGGTATGAATTTTTAAGGGGTGCGAGCCGGTAGGTGACAGCTTTGTCAAATTGACACCAAGTATTTGGTAAGTTTTGTCATGTTCTTTCGTTTCTCTTTGTTCCCAGCTCCTCCCTCCTACAGCGAGTGTGTCACCGGGAAAGTGGACATCCGAGAGGAAGATGACAATGAGCACACCAGTGGGAACTTCCAGTTTGCCCCGGCGTACACGTACTACAACTGGGGACACACACCGGCAGGCATGCCTCCTCAGTCAGGAAAAGACTAGCGCTACTGGGACACTTTCTGACGCTGAAGCAAAGAAGGAATTTGCTATTTTGCTTCTTTGCTCTGACAGACTTACTTTTTAGGTAGAAGAAAGAATGTAATTATTGGTTTCAAGGCTCAGCTGAACTTGCTTTTTTAAACAGAGGACAATGATTCAAATACTTGTTCTCTGGCTTAGGCAAAGGTAAAAAATAATTTGGTGTGTTTCATCAAGGTTGTTTTAGAAAAAAAACAAGCTGAAGGAGTTGAGTTTCTTTGACTCAAATTCTTCTCAGTTTGTCCTTCATTTTCGTAGAAGGGTTAACTTTGTTACCAGTTCTGGAACGCCCTCTCTTGTGTGTCCCATGATACTAGGAATAAAGTTAGAGTAATTTTCAAAATTGATTTTAATTGATGGAGTCTGTAACAACACCTTCAAAAGATGTACAAGTAATATAATATTCTTTTGTGCAAGTTTAGTCAGAAAAAAAACCCTAACGAGCTGTCCATTCAGTTTTGTGAATATCCTTTCAGATTCATTTCACAAATGCTGGAAAGATATTTTTGCTTTGAGATCAAAGGGGACTTTTCCCTCTTACAATTAATTTTTAATTTTTAATCCCCGCTTTTTCTTATGGTGTAAGGCTATAAACTTTTCCTTTATTTTAACGATTTTAGGGTTTCTTTGAGATAATTGACAATTGAACTAACAATTTATCTTTAGAACATTTTATTTGTCTGTTAAATGTGGAGTGGGAACTTGTTTGAAGTTGTCATGGCTTATTGAATCATGAAATACTTTTGTTCATCTGTGCTCCCTTGCATAAAAGATCAAGGGGAAGACCTCGTGGAACCTGGACAAGAATCACAGAAATTGATGTACAGAAAAGTGGGAAGACATGGAATAACATCAAGAGGCTGGCCCAGAATAGAAAAAGGTGGAAAGTGTTTGTCCGTGGCCTATACCCTGGTGCAGGGTGAGAAAGTGTTTGTCCGTGGCCTATACCCTGGTGCAGGGTGAGAAAGTGTTTGTCCGTGGCCTATACCATGGTGCAGGGGGAGAAAGTGTTTGTCTGTGGCCTATACTCTGGGGCGGGGTGAAAAAGGCAATGATGATGATGCTCACTTGAGTCTCAAGGTCAGTACCCTCTGACCTCTCTCAGGGAGTCATCTTTTCTTGTGTCGTCTAGAAGTCTTCGTTTTCTGGAAACCTCATTCTGTGAGAGTAACTTTGGTAGTAAAGACCTCAGATTTGCAGAGCTTAGAAATACAATGTAGATGAAACAGGTGAGAAAGTCATTAGCCAATCATAGAGCCATCGTGACTTTTGAGGGAAGATACTTACCGACTTTTCTTGTGTAGAGAAATTTCAGAAGATGGTGATTAGTGTTTTCTCTACACATTTTACATTTAACTTGTGGTGTTTTACGTTTCATCAATTCTAGTAAAATCCTATCCTGAGGTCTTGCTGGCTGTCTTAATGAAAGCCATCATGACTTTTGAGGAAAGATACTTAGCCTTCGGACATTTATTGTATGGAGAAATTTCAGAAGACGGTGATTAGTGTTTTCTCTACCCATTTTACAAGAAATTAAATGGGGGGGGGGGGAGACATGGACCTGTGTTTTATGTTGAGTTTCTATTGTTTTCTCGAATGTTAAATGCTGTGAGTTGTTGACCGAGATGTTCTGTGACACGAGGACCTGTCGAACTAAGTGGGTTCTTTACACCTAGTGGGGGTGGGGGTTGACTGGCCAATGAATGATGCACCAAGCTGAGGAAGTGCTCACTGTCTTTTGGCAGTTTTTGTTATTTTTGTTCTTATTGGAATCTGTTTCCGCATACATTCACTATCATTGTGTCTTCAAGATAACAGAGCTGTGAATCCAAGATCATGCGGTACATCATGAGTTTGTAGTTTCTGTGTGTACAACATTATAACAGTATATTTATGTGTACATTTCTTGTTCAATTTGTTAAGCGTGCTGACAAAAGAAGTTGCTTCGCGGATTTGAGCCCTTTGGTGATACATCACACTTATAGGTGAAGTTTTTACAATTTATAAGTATGAAATAATAAAAGGCATGTTATAGTTAATGAATACGGCATCAATAGAAAGTATACAAATTTGAACCTAAAGTCGATTTTTGGACTATATCTTCATTTGTGGATTGCGAAAAGTAACTCATTTTGTCAGCACGCCTCACATGTGTATCTTAACTCGTACAGTGGCAGTAAACCAGAGCACTCAGCGCACTCCCCGTAGCAGAAAGTCAGTCAGTCTTTGGGCTTTACAACTGTGACATTTATAAGACATAGCAGTACGAGAAAACTCAGTGTAAATTGATAAACGAACTTTCATAGATTTAGATCTACTATCATCCAGTTCTTTGGGCCTGATTTTAAAAAGATGAAATTGTGAGCCTAAATCTATTGTAGGCTAGTCTAAAATCCAGATCAAGTGAAATGTTAGAGAGAAGGCATCTGTAACAAAACTAACTCAAGAGCAAGAACGACGACTGAGAAGCAGGATTTTAAACTTACGATACTTCCTGTGTCCTCCTATGAAATTAATATTGACAGGTACTGAAAGCATGTAAGAGGAACTCTATTATCATGCAACCAAGAATAAGGAGGGACGGAACTTGCAAACTGAAATCATGCTATCTTGTCTGGACTTGCGTATCGTTTCCGAAAATTGATCAACACTAAGAACACAACAATCTGGCTGAATTAAAGGCTGAGCTTGTCGTGCAAGCTCTAGTGGTAAACAAGTGGGATCCTGGTGTATTGGCGATTTTGCTCCCCTTACAGAATATCGAGGGACAGAGTGGGTGGTTGGCGGGTGCTCTGGTGTGGTTTGCTCCTTCTTTCTTACCGAACATCTATCGTCCTGATCTCTCTTCCTTCTTTTTTGTGTTTTTGTTACTTTCTTGTAACACCTCTAATCTTCGGCACTTATATGACCTTATTGTGTTGCAAGTGCCGTAAAATTTTTACGAAAACTAAAACGAGGGACAGAATTGTTTTGCAGCATGACATTAGTAGTGACTGCCATAGTAAGGGTTAATGTGTATGAATTGTGGTCAGTAATTTGCATAGATTTGTCAAAGTTAGAATATGTTGTTGATTTGATTCCACAAATATTTTGATTCTTAATATTTTGTTATTTATTGTCTGACGTTCTTTTGTTTTTGTTCACTGAAGTTATTGGGAAGATTTCTTTTTATGTACTTAATTGAAGTCATTGAGTTTTGCTTGTACCGTAAGTTTTCTCAATCTTAAATATATTTTGACTTGATGTCCTTCGCACAACATATTATAAGTTTCCCTATTGTAATGTGAGGCTATTTCAGCCCTATGGTTATAGTTATATGTTTTCTGGTCTATCATCAATTTATAGTGTTTGAATTAAATGAAGAAGCTCATCAGTGGGGGAGTCTCACCTTTTTCTTTTTGCTCATGGTCAAGCTGTTTGGCTTTTCAAAACTATGCTGGTGTTCTCTTCTTTAAAATAGTGCCGTACTACGTGTCAAATACTAGCATTGAAAAGTTCTGGCGTTGACCAGATGACAAGGACATGTGGTTACTTGAGGGAGGCATTGCGCTGCCAAGAGCGAAATGCTCGCAGCTAAAGGGAGTTGAATACAACAGCGTTGAAAAGTGTCTTGATCTTGCTTCATAATGATAGCTAAGAACTACCTTTTTGTCAGAAGACTGCTTTCTCAAAATATTTTTGTTAGAATATGTCCTTTCTAGTGGAAAAGTTTATTGACTTGCAAATTTAGAATAATATAACTAAATTATGGCTTTTTAGAATTTTATTTCTGACTTATTTTGAATAGAAGTAGAAGATAAAAAAGTTGTAATGAAAGAATATTGTGTTATCCCCTCTCATCTTTTGTGTTCATGTAAAAATTATCATATTGATCACTTTTGTGCAACTGGATCCATGGCTTTTTTAACCCTATCCGTACGTCCTGTTTTACTATCGTATCCATAGGACGTGGGGAACTCTGTGCCACCACTTTCCAAAGAGGAAATTACTCGTTAATCCAATCGGTATGCTTTGCATAGCAGTCTGTCAAAATGATTTTTTGAGAAATACTGAAAGTTTCAAAAAGATCTTCGTACTAGAAGTATTCTAAAATGTGAAGATTACCACCCTAGGGGTACAAAATTACCCCAGGTTGTACCAATAGGGTTAAATGTGAAGATTACCACCCCGAGGGTACAAAAATGACCCCAGGGTGTACGGATAGGGTTAATGTGTGGACACTATCACATGACCAATACAAGACTATGGACAGTGAACATGCATAATATTAGTTTTGACCAATGACACTTACCATTGTACCTGGTTCAGGATTTTTGTCATGTATTTTCTTGTATTAACCCTTAAAACCCTATACCTCTGGTAACCGCTGACGTCATATTTTCCTATACCGCTGGTAACCGCTGGTCGACTTTATCGTTTAATTCCCAGTGCTAGAAACAGGGGATGTAACTCCAGATGACTCATATCTTTCTTTGCCAGGAACTGTTCATGAATGATAAAGTTTTATTTTTACTTTCAAAGAGACCCAACAGCATTTGGTGAAAGGAATTGTTCAAAATTTTAAATGTTCTTTAAAAAGTTGTTTTAAATTAATTTATATGCATCAAAATTTTATCATTTTAGAAGAGGAGTTGACCAGAATCAGGCTGTGCAGTGTGCTGTTGTGAATAGAACCAACCTTTTTTCGCGCGCTCATATGACCTTATGCAGTTTCAAGCGCCGTAAAACTCTTAATTAAAAAAAAAAATTTTTTTTGAAAAGGGTGTTTCTCTGTAGTAAGTGGAAAGTTGTTCGAAGATTTATGAAATATTTGACAGCTGAGAGAGAGAAGTGCTCTCCATAATTAACTGAATGTCCATCTAGGCTGTAATAATAGTGAGAGTGCACTTGTAAAAAAAATCCTTTTTTTTCGGGTAATTGGTATGAGTTCTTTATGTGCCTGAGTGTTTTGTTTTGTTACGACGGTCTGATCGGGTACCAGAAGCTACATTTTCAAAGTACCGGTAGTTATGAAAGAAAATTATCTGTTCCACATGAAAGGCCTAAATGTCTCCTGATAATTTTGGTACCATTCTTTCAAATCTCTGTTTGTAAGAAATTTGTAGCTATTCTATAATAAGTAATCAACTCTTGCGAAATCCGCTAATTAGCTGCAAGCGCCATGTTTTTGTAAGAAATTTGTAGCTATTCTATAATAAGTAATCAACTCTTGCGAAATCCGCTAATTAGCTGCAAGCGCCATGTTTTTGCTACCTAGTTGGACACTGTATGTGAGGCAGCGTGGTAAAATCAGGCGCTCGTCAAAATACAGAAATCGAAGAAACAGGCATTTTTCGGCCAGTTTGGTAATTTTTATCGAATATTTATTTTTTAGCTCAACCTCTTTTATGTCCATATTAAAACACATTTGCGTGTGAATTTTATTGAAAAATATTGATTAAAGGCAAAAAAATATTTCTTTTTTCTCTTTTCAAGGATTCTCTAGCTATTGGAGTTACTAAACAGAAACTTTGGCTGCTATTTTCTCGCTAATTTCACCACTGAAACCAGTCGACCTCACTTCATTCTATCGCAAATATCTCAAGTTCTATGCTTTCACATGATACCAATAACTGTACATGCTCAAAAATTGACGATCGCCTGATTCCACCGTGTTGTGACATTATATGTGAGGCAGCGTGGTGGAATCAGGCTCTGGTAAAAAAAAATCAAAGTGAAGAAACTTGCATTTATCTGCAGGTTTGTGAATTTTTATCAATTCTTTGTTTTTTGGCTGAAGACCTTTCATGCCCATTGAAGAACACATTTCTGTGTGGATTTTACTGAAAAACGTTGTTAAAGAGTGC